TCCTATCCTACCCTACTCTACCTTATTTTACCCTACCCTACCCTATCCTATCCTATCCTATCCTACTCTACCTTACCGAGAGGGACTCGACACGATTGTGGCCCTACTACATACCCAACTTTAATTCCATCCCCTTGATCCCTTCGCACGCACCAAATCGCTTTTATCTGGACGATGTTTAAACGCAAGAACGAGCACGATCCTTTACGATCGTTTGGTGAAAATGCGCGAGCTCCAAGCTAATCTTGAAAAATGTCTATTCTGTCTCTATCCAACCTACCCCCGCCCCTGCCCGCCACTCCTCCCTTCTAGGACTCCCTCAAGACTCTATCAAACATTAGCGAAAATTCGTCGTGAGATTATCGTTCGTTCGATCGAATATTATAACGTAGGAAAAGTTGGCTGCTTCACGTGATTATTAACGTTTCTATCTTGATCGTGAATCCGTTTTTTCAAATTCTCTTTTTTCTTTCTTTCCATTCTTTTTTATTACTTCTTGTTCGTTTATCTTTTTCCCACCCTTCATTTCCTCTGTCAGAAATAAAAGGAAAAAAAATAGAAAACGAAGAAGCAAAGGACGAAGATGCTCGCATTTATATCTATATATATATATATATATATATATATATATATTGCATTGGTTTGGTTTTGTTTTGTTTTTTCTTTTTCTTTTTTTACGTACGAATTTTGTACGCACTTTCATCAAATTGAATAATACGGAAAAGAAGGGTATAGGAGGAAGATCGCGAAGTATCTCAAGTTTTTTGGATTTTGAATGTTTCTCGATTCTTCTTCTTATGCTCTTTCTATCGGGGGGAAAAAAAAGAGCATAAAAAGAAAAAAAAAAAAAGAAAGATTGCGGATCTGCATTTGATAATATATTTCACAGAGATTTTTCTCTTTCTTCTTTTTTCTTCCCCGAAAGGGTACGAATTTTGTGCCCTTTCGCGAAATTGAAAGGATAGAAGAATGATCGCGAAGTGTATCAGGTCTTTTTTGTTTTTGATATTTTTCAATTTCTTTTTTGGTCTTTTTTTCTTTTTTGTTTTTTTTTTTTTTTTTTTCTTTAGAATAAATCTCTCCATCTTTTTCTCGCCTCTGTTTTTTTTTTTTTCGAAGAAAAAAGCGAAGAATCTCGCTACTTCTACTTCTAAATTTATTATTTCAATTCTTTTTTTTGTCTCCTGCTCGAACGATCAGACATGCGTTGAAAACAAATTGCGGATTTTTGCGAATTAATTAATATCCAATACGCAAAATATAACACGTAAAGATCGAACCAGTAACATCGAAGAATCCTTCTATTCTGAACATTCTTTAATATCTTTTTCATTCTCAGTGAAAAAATTCCTTGAAAGTAGAAGCAACGCGTAAGGAGGAAATTTTGCGAACGCATTAATACAAAAAAAAAAAAAAAAAAAAAGAAAAAAAAATAAAACGCACGGGAAATGCGAATAGGAATCATTTGGGATCTTCGAGGATTTTTCCAATCTTTTTTGTTTTTTTTTTGTTCTCTTAAGAAAGAAAAAAAAAGGAGAAAAAAATAAAAAATAGAAAAAAAAAAGAAAGAGACGTCGTTTTGAAAGGACACAAGAAGATTTTATTTTTTTGTTTTTTTTTTTTCTTTTTTCTTTGTTTCTTTTGTTCTCCACCCTTTTAAAAAGAACCGAGTTATATATCTTTCGCAAGTTCGACTCCGAAGAGGCTCATTTTTCTTAAGTAGATCCTTTTTCGTTGCTGACGAAACGTTGCTATCGTCAAAGTGCACTGCCACTGGCGGCAAAGGCCGTCTGCCGTTACCGGTAAGTAATAGCTTTACATTAGCGTACAAGCTACGGAATGGAAGAGATCGGGACCGACGAATAATCGATGACGACTACTTTCGGCGAGGACTTCCGCCCTTCTTCTTTACATTCAACATTATACATTCGTCCTTCGACGAAACGAATCGACGCGTCGAGTCGCAAGGACCTCCGTACGTCAAGATACCTACCTACCTGCCTGTGATTTTTCTTCAAGTTTTTTTTTTACAAATGCGAGGTCATTATTGGCTCTTAGGTGTACAATGGTTGACACTTTGAAAAAATGAATCGGAAGACTAAATATATATATATATATTTGTATGTATGTATATATATATTTATACAGATATAAAATTCTATCGGAACGTATTTATCAAATCAAATTTTATAAGAAATCTTTTGGATTCTTATAATTATCACGAGAATAAAAGAGAAAAGAAAAGAAACATCAGATATATATATATATATACAAAATATAAGATTTTTAAATTAATTTTTATCATAAGAACGATTGGATATTTCTTTTTTTCTCCTTTTTTTCCTGTTTTTTTTTTTTTTTCCATTAAACTCTCGCAACAACAATGACACATTCCAAATGATTTATCACTAGTTTGTGGGGGAAAAAAAAAAAAAGGAAAAAGATAGAAAAAAAAAAGAAAACACATTTCTCTATCCTTATTTCCTTTCTCTTCAATTTCTCTTTATTCATTTATTTATTTTATTTATTTACTTTTTTAAAAATTATTTTCCACGATACAACACACCATCGTACGAGATATGTACAGATCAGCGAGAGGGGAATAAGGGAGGAAGAAAAATGTTGCGAT